ACCCCCCCCCCCCCCCCCCCCCCCCCAAAACTCACCCTGAAAAAAAAGAGTGAGTGCAGCTCTGGACTGGAGGTGCTGTAGATTTAGACTCTCTTCCATTTACACTTACTTACTTCACTTCATTGATTTTTTTTTTTCTTTTCTTTCTCCCCAACAACAAAGGCAGGAAACTATTTATATGTTAAGGCGTAAAAACACGGTGTAAAGATTATGGGATTTGAAAACCAGGCGATAACGCCTGTTTTTTTTCCCCTTCTATCCTCATTTTTTTTCTTTTTTTTTTTTCATCTGAATTTCCACGTGAAAAAAACTGGAGCTATTTAAGGAGTAGCCTCCTTGACTCCTCCACCAGCGCCGTGACAACTCACGAAGTCTCAGATGCATAAAAATGTGATTTTTGACGTGACTTCAAAAAGAAGCAGCAGACGGACGAGGTGGACCCTGAGCCAACAGAGGGAGAGGAAACAGATGGGTTTCTCACAAACAGCACCGACATCAAGAACACTGAGTTAAAGAGCCCGGCGCTCTCTGTTGATGAAACACTGACGAACGCCGCGGCTTCTAATGAGCGAGGAAAAGTGTTCACTTCTAAAAAGAGGGAGCAGTTTGACTTTCTCTATCCCAGACGAGGGTAAACCACGGGCAGACGGAACCAGAACCAGAACCAGTCTGAAAACTGGTACTGCTGATTCTGTTTATTTTTTTTATTTTATTTTATTATTTTTTGTGTGTTTTTGTGCAGGTGAATGAAAAGCAGTGACCATTAAAGACGCTTTTACTGTTGATCTGCTTTAGCCGCCGACAGATGGCGCCACATGAACGAGGAAGGTCAGAGCAGGGGCAGCAGCTCAGAGTAGCTGGTGTTGGTTGATTCTGTGCGTTTCAGTGACGTGTGTGTGTGTGTGTGTGTGTGCTGTGCTGTTTCACTGCATGTTTATAAATAACTAAGTACCGTAGACTCTGGTTGATCAACAACTGTGATGTGTCGTAGTCTAAAGTCTGTGTTGGTGATAATGATGATGATGATGATGATGATAATGATGATGATGATTTTTATCTATTACACTATCAGACCATGTTATATTAGAGCAGTAAATATAGACAGTGTTCACAGTTGACTCTGATCAGATACAGACTGGGGGACTTGGTTCCTTCTCTCTCTCTCTCCCTCTCATCTCTCTCGCCCTCTCTTATTGTGTCCCTTCTACACACACACACACACACACACATACATACCCACGGTCATGTAATTGGATTCCACGGTTCCCATTTTACAGTCCATTGCCATGTAATGAAATCAGTTATTTACTTTCATCATAAAATCTGATCGGGGACAGACTGCTGTGGTAAACTTTCAGCCAGTGCTGCACATGAATGTTGATGTGAGGAGCTCACACACACACACACACACACACTCTGTACTGTGAGGATCAACACTCGGCTCCAGACTTGTCATTTTACTCCTGCAGGCAGCAGCGCGTGGACGCCGGCGGAGAATTTATTCAGTTATTTGTTTACCTTTAGTAGCAAAATAGTGAGAAGATGTAGCA